CCTGGCAATAAATGATGAAGTGGAGGAAAACCGAGTTCACCATTTTGAAGTCAAATGAAGATTGCATCAATATTCATGCATCATATTTAGACATTTGCAAAATAGGAGCATTTTCATTCATTTTATCCATGTTGAATATTTGACAGGAATTTCAAAGATTTTAGCAAAGATTCAAATCCATCATCTGATGGATCAACTTTTCCAGAGAGAGTTCATAATGAGAAGAACTCATCTGAAGAAGGAAGAAGAAGTTCATAATAAGAAGAACTTGTTCAACTTTTCGCTTGAATTCATCATTCGATGGATCAGCATGACCAGTTCGAGTTCATAATGAGAAGAACTCATCTGAAGAATGAAGAAGAAGTTCATAATAAGAAGAACTTGTTCAACTTTTCGCTTGAATTCATCATTCGATGGATCAACATTATCAGGTCGAGTTCATAATGAGAAGAACTCATCTGAAGAAGGAAGAAGAAGTTCATAATGAGAAGAACTTGTTCAACTTTTCGTTTGAATTCATCACTAGATGGATCAACTTTTCCATAGAAAGTTCATAATGAGAAGAATTTATCTGAAGAAGTTTATAATGAGAAGAATTTGTTCAACCTTTTGCTCAAATCCATCACTTGATGGATCAACTTTTCCAGAAAAAGTTCATAATGAGAAGAACTCATCTGAAGAAGGAAGAAGAAGTTCATAATGAGAAGAACTTGTTCAACTTTTCGCTTGAATTCATCATTCGATGATTTAGTATTACCAGGTAGAGTTCATAATGAGAAGAACTCATCTGAAGAAGGAAGGAGAAATTCATAATGAGAAGAATTTGTTCAACCTTTTGCAAATCCATCACTTGATGGATCAGCTTTTCCAGAAAAAGTTCATAATGAGAAGAACTCATCTGAAGAAAGAAGAAGAAGTTCATAATGAGAAGAATTTGTTCGACTTTAGTTTAATCAACATCAACTTTTCCAGAGAAAGTTCATAATGAGAAGAATTTATCTGAAGAATGAAGAAGAAGTTCATAATGAGAAGAGTTTGTTCAACCTTTTGCATGACTCTATCACAGAATTAGATAGATCAACATCAACTTTTCCAGAGAAAGTTCATAATGAGAAGAAATTGTTTAACCTTTTGTTTAACTCTATCACAGAAGTAGATGGATCAACATCAACATTTCCAGAAATGTTCATAATGAGAAGAACTCATCTGAAAGAGAAGAATTTGTTCAACTTTTTTCTAGATTACATCATAGAAGAAGATAAATTGTCATCCCCAGTGGAAAAGTTCATAATGAGAAGAACTAATCCCAAAGAAGAACTTGTTCAATATTTTAGAGTGAAGATTAAATGAAAAAAACTTATTGTCTTTTCGTATTTGCTCTATTCTCGTTAACACAATAATGAGCAAAGAGGGGCAGCTGAAGACACTAATTTTTTCATTTGATTCATTTGATTATTATTATTATTATTATTATTATTATTATTTATTAATATTAATATTATATATTATTATTATTTAATAAATAATTACAAAACCCACAGCCCAATAATCAGGCCCATTTTACAAGCCCAAACCAGATAGAAACCCTAAAACATTTAGGGTTTCAGTTAGGGTTTTCTAACCCTAGCCCCGTGCGACGCCGCCTCAAGGGTTTCCAGCCGCCTCTGAAGCCATTCCAGCTGCCACGCGGCGCCGACACTCCAGTACCACGTCACCTTGCCACTGAAGCCTCCAGAAGCTCCACTTCCAGAACGCCAGCCGCACACGTCTTCACTCTAGGATGAGTCACCACCATAGTTTGGTGACTCATCGAGGTTCGCCCCTTTGTGACCGGTCTGAAGCGAACGTCGTGGTGGCCTATAAATCCACCACCGAATCTGCAAAAGAAACAGGAGGAGAGCCAGGAGGAGGCAACCAACAACCAGCAAAGAAAGAAGAAAAAAAAAACCGAGAACAAACGGACAACAACAAACAGAAAAAAAAGAGATACAGAGAAAGAGCTACACCAACGATCCCAGAAAATACAAACCGAAAGAAGAGAAAAAGAGACTTACCAAGGAAATCGTCGCCGTGAGAGCCTCCACGAGTCATCGGAGAACCGAAACGCCAAAGGTGAAAATCGTAGATCTACGATATATTATGGGATTTTAGGTTAAAATAACCTTATATCGGGCATTAGGACGGTTAGATCTACGCTTTGGGGGGTATTTTGTAAATTCCGGCCACCGTTCACGGTGGCCGGCGGCGGTGGCCGGCGGCGGAGTACGATGGCTTATGGCTGCCGGTTTCCCTCCGGCGAGGGAAACTAGAGAGAAACCAGAGAGAACTCTGGTTCTCTCATTTTTGAGAGAAAGGAAAGATGCAAATGGGGAAGCTTGGCCCTTCGGGCCAAGCGTTTAAGGTATCTGTGTAATTTAGGAAAGGGTAAACCCTTTCCGCAACCCTTATCGGTCTGTAACTTTGCAATTTAGTCACTAAAATTAACTTTTAATCATTTTAATTTAATGTTTAAATTTTATTTTATTATATTTTAGCCATTAACCGTATTAATAATATATTTAGGATAAATATCATATTTAGTCCTTTAATTTTAATAATTATTTTTTTAATCCCGAGTATATATTTTTAATTTATTTTAATTTGATATATGAATTTTATATAATTTTATTTTAGTCACCAAATTAATAAATAAGGAAAATAACATGTTTAATCTCTGAAATTTTATTTAATTATGAATTAGGTATTTAATTCTATTAGGTTATAATTTAGTCTCTAATTTCAATTTTTATTTATTTTTTACAAGTTTATTTATATAGTTTTAATTTTATTCATTGTTTAGTTATATGTTAATTTTATATGTTTACTTTTAATTATTATTACTATTATTAATAATTAGCCATAAATATATATATTTATACAATAAATAATATTTATTTTATTTATTATTTAATTACTTTTAACTTATTTTAATCTTGTTTTAATATTTATTTATTTTTCAATATTAAGAAAGGCCAGTCTTAAAACAACTGGATGTCCATTTTCTGATATTTTTAAATAAATAAATATCATACTTTATAAATTATATATTAATTGTTTTAATTATTTTTTTTAATATCGAAGAAAAGAGCTGTCTTAAGACACCTAGAAGCCCTTTTCTGATATTTCTAAATAAGTAAATATCTTATTTATATATATTAATATTTTTTTTAAATTATTTGAAATAACAGAATTATGAATTAAATATATTTTTGAATTTTTAAATTTCTAATAATAGAGACAATTTATAATTAATAAAGTACCAATTTTGGGTGTTGTAGGGGTGCTAATCCTTCCCTAAACGTAACTGACCACGAATCCCTTTTTATTAATAAAAAGAACGAATTTTTGGTTATAAACGCAGATCAGTTCATCTTTTAACTGATGTTTTCTTAAAAACTCTTTTAAAAGATAATTTTTAGGTATTCGACCTACCTGACCCAAAAGGCCGATGGCGACTCCCAAATTATTTTAAAAAACCATTTATTCACATCACTTTTCCCGCCAAGTATAAAAATTCGTGCCCGGACGAAAACCGGTTACGACAATTATATTTCAAAATTGTTGTCTTTATAAAATCCCAAGTCCTCTCCTGCCTTCCCCCTCCTTATTCTTTGTTCTGATGTTTCTTCTCTCATTACCCCATATTTTCTATCTTGAAAGTTAAAACAAATTGATAGAAAAATATAGGAAAAAAATTTCAAGAATAGAGAAAGAGAAACAATTTTCTCTCTTTCTTTGGAAATGACGGATACCCCATAAAAGACCTATATCACCACTACACTCTTTAAGTTTGAGGTACAAATTTTCTTCAACTATTTAATCTTCTTTTAAGAAACTCTTTTTCTAGTTTTGATTTTAGTAGCTTTCTTATTCACTGCATGTTCTTATTTTTTTTTGAGAGAATTGATGTTCTTATTTTTTTTTTGAGAGAATTGATGTTCATCTTTTCTGGGTTTTATCTTCATTCCATTATTTTTTTTTGTTCCTTCCGATAATGAGTAAAGATTGTGAAGAAGTTGTGAGAGTGAAGAAGATTGAAGAATTGGTCATTTAGATTTTGGTTTCAACTTGCTTAGAATCCATTATTTTTTGTGGCATTGGCTTGATCTAAAATGATTTTCCCTTGGGATTTATTTCTTCAAGCACTGTATGATGCAATCAGACTTCATATTGTCCCTCTAATGTATTCTTACGACTCTTGAAAAATTATAAATGGTAGCACAGTTCATTTTGCAAATTTCGAAGTCAGTATTTGGTTATTAATCTCCGGTAAAGATGGTCAGAATTGGTCAGAATAGCTGTCGGTGTTGTGGTTAGAACCTCGGTTCAAATGAGAATAGGGGAGAAATGGAGAGATTAGGGGAGGAAGAAGAGCGATGAAGGAAAGAGCCAAAATGAAAAAAAAAGAATAATATTTTTTTTATTTAGATTAAAATTACGTCATTTTGATCTAAATTTAATTTTTTATAGAGTCCAAAACTACGTCGTTTCGGTGTTGATTGCCACATCATCACACCGTTAGAGAGAAAACGGCCGAGTGACAAAAAAGTTCAATGTCTAAAGTTTAGTGAGCAAATTAAAAAAATTGAAAGTACGGAAAGTAAAATAGGAGAGAGAATAAAGTTCAATGAGTAAGTGTAACTTACCCTTAAAGTTAATGACACCGTTTTGTAAAAAAAATGTTAATGACACTTTAATTGAAATAATCAGATGTAACAAAAAATATATTTTTTAGTTCAATGTCCAAAACATAATTTAATTAATAGTTAAGTGACTATGAGTGTAGCTTACTCATTTGATTATGATCTTGTTTAATATTTTATTTTAATATTACCGATACTAATTCATGGGTAGATTTTTGCTATTCCCGAATTATAATCCAAGTAGGATGATCAATAACAATACTTGGTAGAGATGCATGTAAGCGTGTATACAAACTATTTATATTTGTAAAACAAGAATCAATAAATCATATAAGCGAAGTCAAGGACAATGTCACCAAGATCTCCAAGTTCTTCATTAATCTCCGCCATCGGAGACACTCCGTCCGGCTGCGTCGTAAAACCAGAGTCACATTTATCGTAATCATCCTCGGCATTAATAACAAATTCTTCGGCGGTGTCGATTTCGTGAATCGGAATATTATCCATGGCTTGTTTCAAAGCTTTCAAAGCGTCGCCGTACAGTTCACGGCAGGCTTCGAGTCCCGACACTATCATCGGATCATGGGAGTATTTAGGGTCGGCGGCCTTCTCTGTTGCGGCGGTAATCGCCCCTTTGGTTCGCTCGGCCATGGTTTTTATCAGCATCACGGTCAGGGATTGTAGGTCGGTTTGACCATTGAAGAATTGCGCAATGGAGGCTAAGCAAAGATCGGGTTCAAAAGTTTGTTCACATAGGCTTCTGATCTGAGGATTCGAAGCCACCGTCGGCGGCTGTGGCGATGGCGCCGGAACTGGGGCTGAGGCAGTTGTTGGAGCATAAGCCGGTGGGTGTTGCATTACGCAAATGACAGGGTTGAAGAGAATGATGCAGCAGAAGAGTAAGACATGCACCATTTTTTGCAGGTTTGTTGTTACAGTGATTGTGGTTTAAAAACTAGAGAGAGAGAGAGCGATGGTGAATTAAATATAAACTTAGAGAGCCTTTAGAATGTTACTTTTATTTATTATAATGGGGAGTCATCAGTTACCTAAATAAAATAGGGTGCGTATTGGTAAAAGCATAGTAAACGTAAAATTTAATATGTGGCGACGTTGTATTGATAAACTTGTTTAGTTCTTACTCCAGTGTATTATATTTTTTTTCTCTTTCATTTAGGATTAAAGAGAATTTGCTCGAGTTAAAGGATCTCTGTAGCAAATGAATTATTGTTATTATTTAAAGATTCGGATTATGGCACTATAGATATAAGGAACGTGAATATTCAATGTCGAAAGGTGAAAATTTATTTTTAAACAGATACTACTTTGTATTTACTCCGTATTAAAAAAAAGGTTAAAAAAGAATTTTAATGAGATTTACAATTTAAGATTTAGTGTTCTTATAATTAAATGAATAAAATTAATTTATCGAGGAAAAATATAGCTTTAAACACCAACACACTAGAGGTGGCAAACTGGTCATTCGGGTCGGGTTATTTCGGATATATATTAGATTTGGTTTAATTTTGTTCGGATCTAGATCGGGTGTACGGTGAATCAGATCAGGTTGGGTCAATTTTTTGGTAGGGTGATTATTGGATCGGTTGTCGAATCAATATCGGATCAGTTGATTTTTGGTTTGGATTAATACCGAATCAATTGATTTTCGGTTTAGGTCAACCTTTAGATCAGGTCAATTCGGGTTGAATTGGTTATGAGTCTAATAAAAATCAAGTATATATAGAATAATTGATATATACTAGTAAAAATATGTCTTCTTATTTGTTAATTTTATCATTTAAGTTTAATTTCAATTCTCAATTGTTCAATATTTTGAATTAAACAATCATTTAGAGTTGATAAATCGATAATTTGACACAAATACAATCCTATAATACGTGTTAGAATTTGTTATCAAAATTTTATATTGATCTCGTATGAAAAGTTTATAATGAGAATTATTTGATAAAGAAATAAAATTTTTTATTAAAATTTTTATTATAAATCTAATATTATTTCCCTTGTTTTAGTTGTTTTCTATTATTTTTATTATAAATATAATATTTTTATAACAAGTAAGATAAGTAAACTTTATTTATTATTGTTTTCAGATAAGTAAACTTTATTTATTATTGTTTTCAATCTTACAATTAGATTCTTACTTTTATATTTCTCTTAAACTTTCTATTATTTTATTATAAATCTAATATTTTTAATAAATTATCAATTTTATTTAAATTAATTTATTATTGAAAATAACTTTTACTGTTTAATATCTTTTATTAATTTCAATCTGTTTGGGTTGCTTTCGGGTTGGGTTAAATTCAGTTCAGGTTGCTTTAGGATCGAGTTAAAATTCGGTTTGGATTAATTTCGGTTCGGGTTAATTTCGGTTTGGGTTAATTTCGGTTTCACTAAATTTTAGATCGTGTATGATTCGGATCAAGTATGAGTCCGATATCATATCAAATTTGATTATCATGTTCGAGTTAATATCGGGTATTGGGCATAGAAGGCAGGAATAGTTCAGATATAGCACTGAAATTAAGAAGATTAAAAAGGGCTTTAAGAAATTGGAACTTAAAAGATTGTGATAACTTTGACAGAAAAGTAAAAGAATTGGAGGAGAGAGTACATAAATTGGAAGAAGTTGGTGAAGAGGGCAACCATAGCAATGGTGAAGAAGAGGAATTAAAGCAGTGCAGGTTGGAATTGTGGGAGAATCTTAGGCTGCAGGAGGAAGTTTGGAAGCAAAAATCGAGATTGAAATGGGTGTCCAAGGGAGGCTTAAACACTGCTTTCTATCATAGAGCTGTGAAATTCAGAGAAAAGAAGAGAGCAACTCAAGGATTAAGAAGTGGTGATAATTGGAATAATGACCCCAAGAGACTTGGAAGATTATTCTTCGATTACTTCAATAATCACTTCGATTGCAGCAGTAGAAGTTGGAGGGCAGTTTTAAATGTAAAGTTCAAGGAATTATCGAAGGATGAGGCTAGTAGTCGGATTTGTCACACCCCAAATTTTCAATATAAATTAATTGAATTTTAAAGACTAAACTATAAGTTTCTAGAATTTTTTGGGTTAGCTTCAAAAATCCAAGAAATTTAAGAATTAGTCCTGTAAATATCATATTTTTCTGATCAGTTGGAAAAAATGAAATATGGTGACTGAGGGGGCTTGAAGGGTGCCCATGCCTAACCACTAGGCCAGGCTCCTGTTTGTGTGTTTATTTAATAAATATATATTTTATTATAATTCAGTTGAGTTATATACCTAAAAACCAAAAACACCCCAGCGTGAGAAAATCCCCAAATTTCCCTCTAATCCCTAGCCCGTCGCCCTCCCTTCGTCGATCTAATTTCCTCCGGCCGACGATGCAAGTCACCGCAACCTCCAATCGAAGCGCGAAGCCGCCGCGACGCAACCCCAACAATTTAACGACGTTAAACGTCTGTCGTTCGTCGTGGGTGAGTGTTTGAAGTTTCGAAGAAACCCTGTCGCCGCTCATATTTTCCTCGTTTCCGGTCGAACCCGACGTCGTATTGCCTCACCGCCCCCATTCCCCGACCATTTCTGACCAAAACTCAACCAGTATATGAGGTTGTCACCTCCGTTTTCGTCTGTCCGTCGTCGGGGTAAGAGTTCGACCATTTTTGCTTTTGATTTTGTTGATTTTAGATTGATTTGTGCGTTGATGTGGTTGTGTTTTGGCGTTTGGATGCTCCCGGTGTACTTGATCGCCACCCTGATCGTTTTCGCCATTTCACGCACCGCCACGATCCATCGCGTGCGCGTAGGGCTCGTCATCGTCCAGAAAAAACCTTCTAGAAACGGTCCAGGTAGTCCGAATCGGCCCAACCCGGTCTGAACCGGGTCTGTTTGACCCAATCGAGTCAACTCGGACTGAACCGGTCTGAGTCAACTCGGATCGAATTGAGTCAACCTGAACCGGTCTGAACCATTGACTTTGACCTGACCGTTGACTTGCCCGATGACTTTTGACTTTGATCAGTTTGACTGTTGACTTTGACAAAAAAGTCAAAATTTCTGAAAAATCATATTTTATGTTTTTCGAAGTCCTGAGTCCGAATCCGAAGTCCGTTTCACCAAATTCAAACTCGATAAGCTATTTTCAGAGTTTTATCTTGCGATTCGATCTGTTTTTCCGATTAAGATCCTTTTTTGATGTAATTTATTTTGTCATGCATTCGATACATTATGGGACGTGGAATTAAAGCTCGAGAGTGATCGAATGGAATTAAAATGATCGACTGATGTGGTTCTAAGATCGAGGTAATACTTTACTACCCTATGCATGCTTTATGGTACATGTTGGTGATTTGTTAATGAATGATTGGAGTTATTGGTCAATTACATAGAGTTAATTATTGATGGACTCGAATTGAATATGGTGTAAAGACAGTAGACCCAATAAGACTCAATTGACTCGTGTAAGGAACTAGAAGATCGATAAGAGATAAATCTAAGTTCAGTGATTTAATCAGTAAATCAATTAATCCCATGACTCGTAAATTTCGATTAATCTCGCTAAAGGTTAAATGTCAAAAATACTTGGATAAGAAACTAAGAAAATACCCGAGTTATGTAAAAGACAAGGATTGTCCTTGAAAGTGAAAATAACCCTATTAATCGATCATAACCTCTAAGATAAGAAAATGACCTAGAATTCCTAATTCCTGAGCGAACACCTGGAGGCTAAATTACTGAAAATACTTTACACGTCTGAATTACTCGAAATGACTATATTATATGACAAAGTTGAACTAAATGGAAGTACTGTACATATCCAAATTTTTGAAAAAAATCGAATTACTCTGGAAACTCCGAAATGACCGGGATAAACTTGAATACTAAATGACCTAAGTACCCTCAATGACTTAGAATTAAGTGGATGATTGAGATAAGTCTGGAAACGCTGATTAACTTATATGTTGTACTGCCCATAAGGATTATGAACCATGAATCAAGCACATCAATATTTCTTGATACTGTTGCAAGACAAAAATAAAATAAATACCATTGGAATACCTGTTCGTCTCCCTAAGATCCATTCAACGATGATTGTGAAGGTGATCAGTTCAACTAGAGCAATCAATATTAAGAAGTGAATAATGGTGAAGTACCTCAGTCAGAATGGTTGGCAAGTATCACAGTGTTGGGATTGGTTAGTTTAATTTGACTTAAAATCCTGATAATTTGATATAAATCCTAAATTCTATAAATTATTGTTTTACTCTCATTGGGTTAAATTACTAAGAATTCTTCGAGAAACCAAAATGTCTAAAATGCTTATGATTGCCTGAATAATGGAATCGCTCCTGTCATATCTGAAATATCAAGTAACTCTGACGTAAAAGATTATGAATACTTTTCTGATTACTTAGTGCCTCCAAAAAATATATGAATACTACATTATCTTGATAAATCACTTCTTGAATGACTAATGAATCCGTTAACTATCAAACCCTTTTTTTTTATAGGGATCTCATTTTAGAAATTCAATCAGTTTACAAAAGTTTCATGTTTCCCCACTTGATAATTGCCAAGTACCTCCAAAAAATTACTGGATCCTCTAGTGTGTTCCTTATGTGCCATATAATTGTTTCACCTGTTTTAAAATGAGATTTTCCAAAATTATAGCTTTACATATGTATTGATTTATTGTTTATGAACTATGACTACATGATATGTGTCCTCTGGTTACTTGTTTTTACTAGAAAATATAATCGTTATTGATTTATGGATCATGGAATCTAATGTTTATTGTATGAACCGATTATTGAGATACTGTTTGGGTAGGATTTTGGAGTATATAGGTTCATCTCCGATCAAGC